TGCATAAGGATAGGCGTCGGTACACGTGACAGCTTTGCACCAATCATGACATCGTTTCAAGAATGATATTTGCATGTGAGGATCGGGCATTTCGTACACGCTACAGGTCGTCACCAATCAGAGAGCTGTTTAGTAGAATTTGAACGTTTGGCGGGAACCACTGTGCAGGAACATACTGCTTTAGCAGGGGACCACAGACGGAAGGCACCCACAGCAGGCATCAATGAAGTAGGTTGTTTGCTTATCATATCTATATCTTTTGAGACAAAAATCCGATGTTGCTGATAGAAAATGGTTCCTTGTTTTGTATCAAAGGCTGGTTCCAATGCATTATCGGCGGGCGGGAGTTTTGATACTGAGTTCAAAAAAAACCATTTCGCAAAACCTTGCTGGTTTTGTTAGAAACAATTCAACACTAGGAAGTGGGAACGATAAATTGGACAACTTTCAGCATACGTACGGTAAGGAAAACTTTAATCTTGCACTAGTTATCGATGACTTTGGTGATATACAAGTGTTGCGATCATTTGCTACATCCACGTACGTACATTCAAGGGAAGTAACAATGGTTTGCCCCATGGCCCAGTTTCCCGCCAATTGCGCTTACAACCTGTTCGTGACAGAATATATTCACAGACGACTTACACACCCTCGGACGAAAAGACGTATTATTGGTACCATCAGTTTGAGATTGAGATTGAATTGTAAGTGGTAAATGGTAAGTGGTCGTTTTTTGTTTGTTTTGTGTGACTTTTAGATCCCGTTGCATTACAATACATTGCAACACAGATACAAACTATTCCAAAGAGGTCACTACGTCGAGACAAAGTCGTAAAAGTTTGACATCCACCTTTCGTTTCATCTTTATTTATAGCCACTGACGATACAGACGTACCGTCATTACTCCAATGCGGAGAAGGTGGCGGAGTCGTCGGACACCCCACCTCTGAGAGTGAGGCGCTACCGCCGCCCTGGTGCGACGAAGGCAGGCATAATGACTTATGCCCGTATCGGCGGCGAGTGGTTGCAGGTGGGGTGGGTGAGGGAGAGCGACCGGGAGACGGTGGAGATGGCTCGGGGGACGGACGTGGAGAACCTTAGGGTGACCTTGTGGGACGCCTACGTCAAGAGAGGCTACTGTGTGCTTACGATTAACATTTCCATCTAAGAATTGATGAATGAATTTCGTACTACTGTAATGCACTTAATGTTCATGGTAGCAAAAGTTCACTGACTGAAAAAATGTAACGTTACATGTTTACGAAATGATATATTCAACGAAATGATGTTTAAAGGCTGCAATATGATAAAAACCCAGAAAGCAGGACAACAGCTCTTTTGATAATTGTGATTCTGTTGTAGACAAAGAAAAGGTCCTGGCAGCTTGGGTTTACTGCAAAGGTGACACAGGAAGCACAAGAGCCCAACTGTGCTGTCTTGCCTAAAGTCAATGCTTCACGATGTTCATTGAAACTTAGCGAGTTTGGACTTGACAGTACAGTTTCGGGCGAAAAAAAAAAAAACATCATGGAGTGCTTCTCCACAAAGCGTTTTAAGGTCATTCTGTTACTCTGATATCCTTGTATCCTATGTATCTTGTTACTCAGTGCGATGTACATGTTACATCACATTCTGATGTATGCATTTAGCCCCATGGGCATGAACATGCAAATAAAAATTCTATAAATTTTAATCTTTTCTTTTGTGTGTCCTTGTTCACATGTTGCCATGACACACTCATATAACCGCCCCCTCGGGTTAAAAAAAATTAAAACAGAAAACCTTGATATCTATGGAGGTCACTAAAGTGCTTGATTCTTAATTATCATAGCAATGAGACAGCGCTACCTTCGGTCCACCACCAGTGTCGGGGCATATTTTGGGACTGGACGAGCAGTACCCCGCCACACCGCTAGAGGCATATCATGAACATTCAGTCCCAAAAGAAAGACGAACCAGGCCATAGGGAGGCAAGGTAAGACTAGTCCCACCTTTGTGAGGCGATAGCTCAAAGGAGGGTTAAACCCTCAGTAGGAAACGTGAAAGCTTTATGCTGGCGTCTCGGTCAGATAAGAAGAGCTAGTGGTAGAGACCACATACCTGTCCTCGTGTGTTTGTCAGCAACATCTCAAAGGATTCCACCCTATATAGGTAACATATAATGAAGGTACTGGAGGCGGTGGTTATACATGTACTCCTTAGACTGCCTCCTACATATTATTTGCAACCATTGGATGAAGGGATCTTCTCTCCTCTGAAGAGGAAGTTGACCATTACCATCGAGACAATGCAAACCTATACTGTGGCGTCTAAAAATAGGGCTCTATAACAAAGACCGGACGTGACGTGTCGTACCCAGGATAACTTGTGACATAGTTGTAATTACCAGTATTTGACATGTATGGTCATAACTATTTGGTTACATGAGTGTAAGACACAGTACATACATGTAATTTACAAGTTACAGATTCAATGTTTGATAAAAATGTGCTCAGCGATCATTCGTTTCCTGTCAGTAATCTCGTTAATACTTATTGTTTATGTGCAGTGATGCATGTTTGATGGTTCTAGCATATCAGAGAGCAAAAATATAATTTTACTTTGACAAGCAGTACGGTGGGGTACATTTGTGTACATATTTTACACTTCCAGATTGTGTATGCTGACCTGGCCAAACAATTCGGCCTCCAGAACGTGAAGCGTGGGGGAGAAGTAGTGAACAATTCCTTGTTGACAACAAAGTGGACATTTCCAACTTGAAAACATTCAGAAAAAATCCCAGACAAAGGAAGAAGATCACTACTAAAACTATTCTGGTGTTAGCGTCCCTAAAACAAGGGGCAATAATGATAAAATTGAAGAGAAGCTCCAGAATGGAGCTCCATGGGAGAGTACGTTGTGCCTTGTACCTACAAAAAGGTGGTAATACAAGGTGGAAACGTGGTAGTTAAGGAGAAACATGTCCCTGGAAAGAAAGTACCACTGAAAGAAATCCAGGAAAAGCTCCTGAAGAAATATGTGGATCTGGGCCTTATGAGATCACAGAAGAAGCGTGCAGTGAGACATCACAGCACAGGGTATTTGCCTGCACTCCTAAACAAAGGGTATTTGCTTGTAACTGTCCACGCATTGTATGATCCCGCAATCTACTACACTGCAGAAGAAACGCGGCAGCAGGGAAGGTCCATGGATGTACAAAGCATTGTTCAGGAGCCTGAAGTGTACCTGCTCGCCAGGTGGAGATCTACCGTCACTGACCAGCTCAAGTAGTTGAACTACCAGGATATTGAGATCAGAGATGTTGTCCGGTACTTCACCAGGGACAACATTGCCCAATGGCTTCAGTCTAGTGAGCAACACAAGGGCATATGCGGAATGTAGTGTTTTATTTCGTAAATCTACCATGTCATACAAGGTTCCATTTCTTTTTTGCGCTCTGTATCTGCTCTTTGGGTGGCTCCATAATACAGTATCATATTGGCAAGGCAGTATCAAATTTGCCAGGCATTAATAATATTGTGGAATACGTACACGCCACGTGAGGTGACCAATGGTTACAGGCGCCCTTTAATAACCTTTTTTCCTCAGACCACTGCATAACTGAAGTAAACAGTTGAATACGATAGCCCCAAAGTGCAATAAAATGATAACGTATCGATCTGAAGTGTTTCTTTGCCCTAAATTTATAACGAACGTTTAAACCCTTGTGGTAATAAATTAGTTTGAAGTGTTTTTATCCGAACTTTACAACCGTTAAGTGTTTTTACAGGTTTACAAACATTTGTCTTTCTCATAGTCAACCACGTAATCAGACAGGCATGGTTTATAGTATTGTAGGAACGATGTATACTTATTAGGTCAGCCGTTCGAAAGGCGACGTTAGTGTCCGCTCGACGTCCGAACGGCTACGTTAGGTTTGAGCAAGTCCTTAAAATAAAGATGGACGGCAACGTTAGGATAGATCTTTTTTTTAACGGTGTCGCTCAATGCAAGGCCAATTATTTTTGGTCACTTATCTTATTCTGGCACAGATCTTATTCTGGCAACATTAGGATAAATCTTTTTCTTAGAATAAAGACATTTTTGAAGTTGAAATCCTTACATTCAGAAATTCTTACATTCAGACGTGTTTTCGTGCTCCGTGTATTTTCTTTCATCTTTTCCTTGCTATCTCGTGCGGCAAACCCTCGGGAACATTATCCTCCCATTTTACCCAACAACATCTGTTACATACGAAGACAATATTTTTTGTTAAAAACTTTTAAACATCTCTTACATACGAAGACATTATTTTTTAAAAACTTTTATTCCTTACACTTTTATGTCTTCTTATATCACAACGTCATATCAAAAAGTTTGAATGTAACTCTAAACTTTATGAACTCCACAGACGCCCGTGTGTGTGTGTATATGTGTGTGTATGTGTATATGTGTGTGTATGTGTGTAACTGTGTGTCTGGTGTGTGCACATGTCAGTCGAGGATACAAAATCATCAAATCAACTTTATTGCTCAACAACTGTAGCTGGTACAGAGGTCGGATTATGAGTCAGCTGTTAAAGTGGCCAGCCTGGCGAATTTTCTAACACCTATTGACCGTATTGCAAAAAGACTGAAAAAACCCAACAGTATAAATGAATATGTACCAGTCCCTTCAACCAAACTACCAAAGTGATATTTGATGGTCCGAACAACTTTTTTTAACACAAGTAAATGTTTTATTTAGCCGACATTTGGTGAGCAGCTTGTGCCACCCTCCTCGGGCCAATTTATGACACATTTCAAACACGTAAGATGATTGAAAACCCTTGAACGTGGAACAAACCAGATGTATTAGTTATGAATACGAGAAATTATGCATATGATTGCCCCTAATTTCCTACATAATTGTACTTCACGAGATGTAAGAAAGTTAAGAAAAACTTGAGTGTGCAGATTATGGCATCAATAAAGACGTTATCATAGATATGGAAAGTATATAAACTGGGACTCAGAGGCATTTACATCACTTTCCCCATACGGCGTCAAGAAAGCTGACAGAGATGCAGCTGTTCGTGGTCTCGCTGTTGTGTGTCGGACTTGTGGCCGGTAAGTCCAATGATTTTTTTTTACCAGGTGAGGTTTTTAAATGGTATGATACGGGTTCTCCTTTGTTCAGACAATCATGACATTTATACTATTTGTTAAAAAATGATTTGATTCATTCGCGGTAAATTGATTCGTATCCTGTCATATTTCAATAGACTAAGGGGCGAAGCCTATATATAACTGCTTTTTTTTAAGGTTTTGACCCAATCCGGGCCCCTGAGGTCTTTAAGTTCTTTGAGAAGACACTTGTTTTCCGAAACCGGAGGCATGGTGTGTTTAGACATCTTCATCAAGTTCTCAAGCGCTAGCATCAGACAGAACCTAAAGTGTATTTGAAGATATCTTTAATGAGTATGACTTTGGTCGGCAACGTGAAACCGGAAGGAAATGGCTAGGAATGGTAAAGAATCGATGCAGTCTTTCAAATATGCCTCAGGTTTACCGGCTCCAAACACCAAGGTCCTCCCGCAAAGCTCTTCCCGCATAGTAGGCGGGATTGAGGCCACCATTAACCAGTGGAGTTCTATCGTCACCCTCAACATCGTGGAGAGGAACCATCACTTCTGCGGGGGAACTCTCATCGCTCCCAACGTCGTCCTGTCAGCCGCCCACTGCGCCGATGCTCTGGAGTAAGGCCATTTTTTTTTCTTTCGTAGGGCCCCTTATACACATACACGGATATGCCCTCCCGAGCCCTAGACGACCTCCCCCAATCTTGCTAGGTTGCTAGCGTGTCGGCTGTGGATGGATGGTGTTGAGTCAGATCGGCTACTGCTTGGCTGCACCAGATGAATGTTTCAAAATATTAAAAACGTTCGGGTGCGGATGGGAGGCCGGGTAAAATTGGATCAGTAGATCGGGGCGTGATAGGCAGTTAAACTAAACTCGTGGCTGAAATCTGGTTGGACTGCTACCAAACGTTGGCAAACCGTGGTTGGCTGGTGTTCGGGAAATGTTCTAAACGTTCTAAATCAAAAGTAGAGCCTCTGAAATATGGCTCAATGTCCTGTTTCATTTACTTCATCGGGTCAAACAAGTCTCCTGTATAGGGAGATTTTCGCTAAATTAAAAAGAAATTAGTTCGTATTCCTGAAGGGCAGTGGACAAAATATACAATTTAGTGTTAAATATTTTTCACAACAACAAATTCAAGCACATCTGCTCGACGGTATCGTTACATTCCGGAATTATTAGTGAAAAGTTCTTATTAAGCATAACATTTGGTAAAAGGAAATTTAAAGAATGTAATTATGCGTTAAACGCGAGTGTTCATACAGCTGTACACACCATAGAAACCGTGCCATACATATTATGGTCTCAATTTCCAGCGCAAATGGCTACACACCAGACCAGATCGTGGCCAAGGCTGGGAAGCACAGACTGTCGACCGTGGAGCCTACCGAGCAGGTCCTCGGCATCCAGGGCTGGCTCAAACATCCCAACTACGACCCCAACACCATCGACTATGACGTCGCGCTTTTCTACCTGAGCAACTCAGCCGAACTGAACGACGATGTGAGTTATGAAATTACAATGCTTCAATGAACTAAGACGCATTCAAGTACATTGTAACTCTGACATAATCGTATATATCGAGCATAATTTCGGTCAGCATTACATATTTTCTGAGGACTGGCGTCAGTATTGGGAAATTGGCAAGTGATTGAATGGTTGAGTTCACAACCATTAACCGTCGTTTCAATGGTCGTCTGTCGTCATTCGTTGTGACCATTCCTAATATGTATGTCGTGGCTGTTTTGCGCTTAGGGCCGCATTGTTGCGGTGAGTCTAGCTTTTGTAATCCAGTCATATTAGCCATGACAAAGTTTAGTTAATCATCACTCCGCCTGGATAACTTAAGATTTTTTTAAGCATTAGTTTGTTACAAAGGCATTAAAAGATAAGTAGTCCGGGTTGATTTTTAAAATAAATGTTTTTTTTTCGTTTGATTTTGGCTTGTTGGTGAATTTGAAAGGCATCTATGTAACAGGATATTCTCTAAAAATGTACTAATGTTTAACACGTCTTGTTTTCTTCTTCAGGTGACCCTGATGCCGCTGGTTCCGTCCGGACAGGAGTTTGCAGGCGATACTCAGTGTTTTACGGCCGGGTGGGGAGACACGCAGGGTAAGATATCTGGGTCAAAGTAACTAAAGCTAGCCCCTTGTCACACATTTAGCCTCTCGAAGACAAGCCGAACTCCCCCTAGCCATAACTAGGAGTAGGTCCAGACAGAGCAAAGTCAGCTAATTTTCACTGAGGTCAGCTACTACTAATTACGTTTGGTAGAGATATCCTATCACGGAATTTTCACCAATCATGTTATCTTTCCAGAAACGGCTGACCAGGACCTACTGCAGCAGGCCACCATGCCCATTGTGGCCCACTCAACTTGCAACGGCTTCCTCTATTGGTGGAACTTGATCACTCCCAGGATGCTGTGCGCCGGCCATTGGGACGGAAGTGAGACTTCATGCAATGTACGTCCATTTTAAAATTTATCACTTTTTTCATACAGATATTCTTCATAGTTCTATCGTTTTATCACAAGACATAAAAATCCATATTTGAAAAACGTAACCGTTAAATTAAAGCTATGTGTCGCTTCCAGAGTGAGTTTTTTGCCGTCCCATTTCTCAGTTTTTAGTCGTACTTATCTGAAGTTTTATGGGTCTCCCTGGTTTTATGATGTCCTTTACTGACTGAGTATCCAGCAAATACAATTCTGTCACAAGCTTCGTTTAGTTCACAATTTTCTAAACTGAAAATCATTTGACAATTCGTGGCTATGTAAATGAATGTTCAAGAAAAGCATACATTCATTATTAGTATCATTATCTGTACATTTATGTTATATATTTCGTGGTAGAAAATAGAGACATCTTTTTTATCGTTACAGGGTGACAGTGGCGGCCCGCTTGCCTGCCCTATGCCCAACGGCGGGTACATGCAGGCAGGTATCGTGAGCTTCGGCGTCAACGGCTGTGTCGGCACCTTCAAACCCACCGTGTTCGCCAAGGTCGGCAACCTCCGCAGCTGGATCGACAGCAACATGTAATCGGTCCACTATGCAGTGTCTCCTTCACGGGACCCTAAAAGATGAACATGGGTTATGTCAATTAAAACTTCATTGTAATCATTAAAAAAATGTGATCATGATTGTCTGGCCTCAACATACATCTACCAGCCATAGCTTACAGGCAAAAGCAAAGTGAATAACACGTTATGTCCTTTGTATTATTCTCATAATGGTGCAATGGTGACGTGTTGAGCCATAACGGCAAAAAAGGAAATCTTCTAAACACACCGAAGAAGCTGTTGGCATCTTTGCACACATCTTGCCTTCCCCTGCTCCTGTGACTCCAAAAGAACTTACTGAAAGATTGTTTTAAGAAGGAAGACGGTGGAAAAGTCGAAGATCTCAACATAGATAAATTTCCTACACTGGGAGATGCGGTGTATAACTTTAAAGAAGATAAGCTGCACACAGCAAAGGGACTTAGTATAACCTAACAGAGGATAAACTGAACTAAACTGAAATAGTATACGAACTCAAGGGGAACTAGAAAGCTGACAGTTTCAAAGGAAAGGCATAATATTTATCTTCTCATGGTCTACCTAGTTTTAGTAGCAAAGTTAAAACATTCATAGATATATTATATGGTGACCAGCCTCTCCAACGCTGCCTGACCACTTGTAACGTAGTGTAATCAAACACCACAGATAGTTAGACTTACAATAAATAGTACTGGGAGAACAGTACAATAATCTATAACTATTGTTAATAACGTCTGACTGATAAATAAAATCTCTTAACCTTCAAAACTGACCCAGCAATGGGATTTTCGTTCTCGTTTACATGGGTAGTGGCAGCATTGTAACACTTATGATTATACAATCACAAGCATTTCTTTCATAAAGCAAAGAAGTAGGCAGAAGCAGTTATATTGAACAGAAAGGCCTCGGGCGCACCTAGCACTATGTAAGTTAGGGCATTTTGTAGAGGCTGGCACACTTGTGACATGTTGGTGTAAACAAAATGGTTCGGAAGAAACACCCCAACACTTCTTTGAAAATTGGTTTGTTGCCCAAAATAAAGAAAGAAAGTATAAAATCTGATGCAGTTTATAGACGGAAGTGTGGGTTTCCACTTTGTTAGGATACTTATGCTGTAGAGATATCTCTTAAGAAACGTTACAAACAACACTGACTGTGGCTCGGACTACGGACAGGGCTACTGATGTCTAAACGCCTGGGTATTTTGTAAACGTGGAAAGACAAAAAAAGAAGAAAAGAAACCACTGTTATAGAGTGATTCTTTTTCTAGGTTCAAGACACCAGAACAGTCGCCCGGTCGATCAGAGAGACTTTCTTTTCTTCTGGTGCAGTCACATTTGACTGCACCAGCCCCTAGGTGCATCACTATGCAACCAGGTTTTCAATCTGTATGCTTGGATTCATGGCCACTGACTGTGACTCGGACTACGGACAGGGCTACTGATGTCTAAACGCCTGGGAATTTTTTGGGAAGACAAAAAAAAAGAAACCACTGTTATAGTGCGATTCTTTTTCTATGTTCAAGACACCAAAACAGTCACCTGGTCCATCAGAGAGACTTTCTTTTCTTCTGGTGCATACTACTACTACTACGGTAGTATTTTTTTCAACGGCGGGAAACTAACTGTATCTGTCAATCATACAAACGCGGCATAGTGATTGGTTGAATTTATCGCGCTCTATTTATCAAGAATTAAAAACTTCAGCCTGTTGCAAATCTTTTATATATCACATTTAGTAATACTTGTACCTCAGGGCAGGTACAATAGAACTAAACCATATTATGATTCTCTGATGGATTCGCTTTGTTCATTTTTATAGTCAAGGTAATGTCATTTTAATTATTTGCAATGCCTTTATCATGATCCGAATACCACACGCGCGGGAATCCGGTAACTTGATATCCCAAACACTAGTATTCAGTCAATGCATCAGTAGGAATGACTCACTTTCTCTCAGGGACGTAACCTATGCTTAAGAGAGTTTCTTTTACGTGTTTTAGATAGTTGGACATCAGAAATTGTGGGTGTAGGTTATCAGAGTACTAGTATGGGTAGGTTTTTTCAATCATCTGCACTAAAGCCGTAGCCGCAGGTAGAAGTGGCAGTAGGTTTTCATCATCATCATAGTCGTTATGATTCTGACGGACGTTCTGTTCACTGTTCGTGGACTCGACGGTGAGCAGCTAGGCCACGTCTTATCCTTTACAGTTTGTCACAGGTCTCACATGAGAGGTTAAAGCTGCATATACGAGTCATAAAAATTGGATATAAAATGCTCGGTGTTGTTCTATTTATAACAGGTGGTGTTATGTAACTTGGCATTTCTTTTGTTTAAATTTATTTTGAATCTTGCTGCAAATATATGGAAAGAAATAAAATAATTACGAATGTAGACTAATGTCAATAGTGCTTAATAATACAATGCACGTATACCTGCAAATAAAACTATATAGAATATTAGAATATATAAATGCCTTCTGCACCGCTGCACTCTTAATTTTTAAAACTTTATACCCTCCTTGTGCATGATTTAATTAGAACAAAGTTCCAAGCTGCTCTGTTCGATTCCTGATCATCTGGATGTATTGTTTCGGTAAAGATTATTGTGTCCGTCGATGTGCAGGTTCCACGGAGTGCGTATAAGTTATTTCTTTCGACACTGGCTCGGCACATTTTTCAGAAAATGTAATGTAGAGGACATGGTTACAACAGGATGTGTGCAGTGTGGGTGTTTTGTGGAATGTACTTTAATGGAGCTGTCAGACAGTCCATCAATATGGCCTTCCTTTCGGGAATTAACGTTAAGTAAGTAAGAAAACAAGTAAGTTTCGGGAATTATCCGTTCAGGCAGGGTGTCTAACACTTGGCATACTTGTTGCAGTAACTCATCTATGCTACTTTGGCTTTTGTCCTTTACAAAGGAATCAAATTGTAGCTGGAACATGGCCTATCAGACAAAAATGAGGAAATTAACATGTAAAGTCGAAACATATTTCGGTGTAATGTTATACACCTCTGCATAACGTACTGGTGACACCCCACAATTTACCCTCTGAGACCTTCGTGACGTTGGAGCTGGTGTAAGGGTTCGTTGTTGTAGGAGGAGATGATGTTAAAACTTCCTCGTGGGATTACCGCCTCAGAGCAGGAGAAGTGGTCTGGACAAGGAATAATAATAATAATAACTCTTAAATAGTTTCCTTTAATTTTCAAATGTATCATTCTAGTATGAGAAACCACTAAACTACTCTTTCTGGGCATTTACTGCCATCCACTTGGTGTCCCTGTAGTCAGAAACATGAAAAAAAAAAACATTGAAAAGTTTGTTTTTTTTTTCTTTAATGTGATGTTGGCATGAAATCGTTTTCATCCAAGTCAACTCATGGTTATAGTGCCTTTAAGACTAATAAGAAAGTGACTCACTGTTTCCCCCCGGCAACACCTTGTTCCGTCTTGTCACTGAAAACATTTGGAACATACCTACTGTAACATGTACATACCTTTCCTACACTGGCACATTTGGTTCAGTGGCTGGTGTTGGTAGAAGTAACATTTCTTCATACTAGTCTGTCTCCTGATCGTCAGTGATGTCATCCTGTGTGTCCTGGTGCTCATGTTCTTTTACTAAGCTCGCCATCATGTGCTTGTGGCTTCTTCTATATCTTGGGCTGCCCTTCGTCGCCTTCCTCATGCTGAAGTCTCCTTCAGGTGTGGAATGATCGACACCCCAGCCGTACTACCAAAATGTCACGGTGGCCATACGAAAGTTAATCCCTTGTGAACACCTTCCTTCGAACAGGTGTCGTTGCTACATGTCCATTAGCTCATGCCCCTCTACTAAGTAACATTGCTATTATCTGTAGGACTCTACAAACTTACTTCCAAAGCTGATCAAGTAATATTTTAGTCACTGTGGCAATATTTTACATGAATTCTTATTTGTGTACAGTATCATGAAACTTTTGAAACAGAGTTTAGCGCTGGCAACTGGGACCAATGGCCCCTTGTTTTCTCTTTATGCCAACACATTTGTAATGAAATCACTCATCACATTCATTGTTATCACACCTCATCATCCGATCATATGCTGGTTTCTGACAAGTACGTTTGTTTGGGCTGCCATTTTCCTGTCAAGTCACATGTGCTTCAGAATCTCCACACTGTAACTTATTGGTTAATATCTCAGGAATAAGACTGGACTATACAAACTGGACACATGTAGACAACATTATATCTAACAGTGATTGGTCCCTTGGAACATTTACAACTACCATACCTTCATTAGTCCACACCACCAAGTCACATGTTGAGCCACCGATAACAAGCAAATGTGTCTGAACTTAGGTGTAATACCTGTGCCCTGTCTTTAGCTTTCAATCATTATCTAAACAGTAGTTGGCATCTGATAGACACAGATCTGAAGCAGGGTGATTGTATTTGTATGGGCACTTGATTTCGATGACAGTTCTTTCATGGCATGAGCACTGTCTCAGCCCATCAGGAGATGCACCTACATGTACAACAGTAATGTTGTAATTAGTGGCAAAGTTTCTAATACTTGAAGTACTTATTTTTGATACTTGTCAAGTGCTGCAGATGGCACATATTCATGGGGTACGTAACAAATCCAATGCAATTGTTAAAACAAATATTATAATGTTACATTAAGAAAATCATAAGTCAATTAGACATTGTGTAGCTGTTACTGAATTACATGTACTTTATAAATTTCAAGGTGGAGACCAAATTAGCCATACCTATGAAGGGAAAATCCTTGTAGAAGCCAGAGAATCGGCCCCACTTCCTCTAGTTTCACATCATTGCTGGTGCGGGAGGTAGCTATAGCTTCTAGGTATTCTTGCCTTGCCTCGTCCTCGTGTTCCACCCCCCACCCCCCCCACATTCCATAGCTGGCACCTGAAAATGAGACTTTTTTACATAGAAAAGCACTAATGGATTACATATATGATACCATCTGTCATTGATTAGACCTTAGTTAGGAATTGGAACTGAAAATTTGAATAATATCACTCTAATATTAAGACACATGGCATTCTTAAGGCCAACTAATGATTAGAGCCACACATGCTCTGTGTTATTCTGGAACCAAGTATACAGGGTAATGTTGTCTCTTTGTGTCTGTGCCTTAATTTTCTGGAAAAAAATGGCTTCCAGCAAGTGTACACTGTACCAAGTTTAATTTTAAAACTCAAATGGCGTAAATATGTGCATTCAATCGAACGAAAAGTCGTATACAGTGAGTTTTTGGGATCCGGTATCACATGTTTA